CGTCGGGCGGTCACAGCGAGACTTCACTGCGGACCATACGCGCTGCGAAGGAAGTGCGGCTCGAAGTCGGTTGTCTGGAGGCGCTTCAGTCTTGTGGTCGACGAACTGGACCAGCCGCTTCCGTTCGTCGCCTGCAACACCTGCCTGAAAGTGTATACGTATAAAGGCCATATGACAGGCACCTCGTCGCTTCTCAAGCATAAATGTCTATCTCCGTTAGTCACAGCCTCCGCTGAAGAGTTGGTGCTATCCAGACCCGGTCCCGGTCCCGGTCCCGGTCCCGGATCCGGAACCTTCGACCTTACAATCGCCGAAGCCGCTCAGCGACGAAGCAGATCAAAGGCTGTCAAAGATGGCCGCCGCCGGCAGCCGTCGTGGCGACCGTTGTTAGGTGACACGACCAAGATCGCCAATGTCGTCGAGGCAACCCATGAAGGAGGTACTGGCTAGAGTTCGCTATCAGTGTAATGCCGCATAACGGTAATGCTCCCAGGCGGTGTCTCTTGCTTACTTTTTCCCTCGCGATGTGTGTCTAAGAGGTCGCGAATGCTCTTGCCGATCGTAGAGGGTATCTTACTTTTCGCCCGGCCCCGAGGCCTGAACAACTGCCGTTGGACTCGTTTTGTTACATTAAGCAGTATTTGAGGCTTGATGGCGTGTACATCGAAGTCAGCAGTAAAAAGTGGCAACGAATGCAAGTCGTGAGCCGCAACGCCTCGGCAGAAAATTCTAGATAAATAACATTCTTCCTGAGGTGAACAGCTCCGTAACGTGTGACTGGTGGCTACCGGTGATGAGCAGTGATATTTCATTTTTGTTATATTACACTTAATATGAATTGTGTTAGAGCGTTTGACATGTGTGGCTGTCTGGCCGTTGACCGTATGTCAGTGATCCAGTTTTCTGTTGCGCTGAAGCTACCGAAAATTAAAAACCGAATCTATGTGACCCCCCTCTCCTTCGATACAGCGTACTCATGAAGACGTTCATCTCCTCTATCGATCATTATTTGATCTAGTTCTCGCTAGGAGGACTTCTGCTCGTTCCGAGCAGGTGTCGCGCGATTGCTGAAACAGTTGACGAATACTAAGCTCATGTTTCTTACCAGCAGTTCTGTTCAAGTGCCAGGCTGCGTTGATTGCTAAGGTCCCATCTCGCGAGCACTATACAGCGGGTCATTCATGCGTTAGCGGCTTTGTACACGGCGTCGCTCTAAGTGACCGCAGAACTGGTCAGTTGTAAATGTCGTTTTGAGTGTAATACATTTCCTCATGAGAGCTCTTCCATTTTTGTTCTTTAGATGAGTTTCTTTCTTTCTCCTGACGAAAGTTGGTACAGATAAGCTTGAGCCAAATCCGTAATCCTCAGGCCATTCATAGCCAAATCCAGATAACCAGGTATTCATAGTGTGTTCATTTGCTAGATAGTCATTTGAGTTAAAGAAATTGCCTCAGTTGACGCGGAAATTTTTAATTTCCTATAATGGCAGGGGTTTGTTTCGAGAGGCAGACCAGAAATCAATGGTAGTTATCCATGAACTTTGCAAACACCTCCTTAGCTTCCAAGTTTTACGCTCTTCAAAGTTTCGTAGTTTTTTGTCACCATGAAAAGGTTTTTGATTGCGGTTGTAAGTTGTCACCTGAGCTGCGCTCCATGAGCCCCTCATAGCTCTGCCGTCGATTCATTATCCGGCGCGTGACTAGCGTGGCAAATCACATCAAGTAGTGCTGCGCATGGGTGGATGGCAGGGAAATCCTGTGGTGCAGCGTACGCGTCGTTTCACTATTTCCAGCCTGGAACTTTCATAGTGTAGATGATGGTATCCACGTGCCGTCTGGCAGAACGATCAATTAGAAATCAAATTGCTGTTTCAAGGGTTTACTGAGTTGGAGACTCCCAGTGAGACTCAGCATCCTGTTGACAGAAAGGCGACCGAACGAATTTGGTGACTACTTTTTTGTCACTCTAAACCTCTCGGTTCGCGACGTTGGATACAAACCAATTTCTAGATCGTGACTGATGTCGATTCCTCTTCTCGCCTGCTGATTTGACTCACAAAATTGATATTAAAATATTAATTTATGATACGTTTCGTTACGGCAACCTGTAACGTATGGGAATTTAATCCTTCTGCTGTTTCGTTGCCCGGTGCTTAAATTAACTTTTCAGGCTGATAAAGAAACATACCTTAGATCTGTTAAGGAATATGTTACTAACGGTTATTGACGTCTTCTGTTTGGCTACAATTTTCTGTTCTCTCGGCAGATGTAATAATCCAGGGGGCATTCTTCGTTAGATAATTTGTAGATTTCATTTGATATTATACCTTCTGAGTTGCCCAGTTAAGCTGCTAAACTGACTCTTTACATTGAAGTAGAACCTTTACGCGTTTCGCTGATCGTCGTACTGTCTGTTTTCGGGCATTTGTGTTGGTTTATGGGCATTTGTCACTGAGTTCATGGGTTCAACTCAGAACGCTTGCGTTTTTAAACAGATTTCCAAACATGTGGGGACACTTCGTTTTGCTCTCCGGTCAAAAATCGGTGGTTTCTCGAAGAATTGCTAAGTGAGTTTGTGTTTTCTGAGGAGTCTTCAAAAATTCATACAGGCTTGATGCCACCAACTAATAACTTGTGACTGACATTCTCTTCAATTCTTTCTTGGCATAGAGGTTGCATATATTCAGCTTTGTTCTATGAGGCTAGACTCTGTTCCAACAGAACAACGACTTCTGAGGCAAAATGGTTACTCCCTCCTCCTGTTAGTGGCTGCTGTCCGTTGATTCTTTCAGTCAGTCAGCCATATTTGTTTGCTTCAACGATGGTGGCCTAAAGTTTAAATTAAATGTTTATACCTGTGGTCTGCACCTCGTTTACACTACTTGATTTTTAGTTGGCGGTCAGGAGGGTCTAAGCGAATTGCAGTCGTAAGGCGCACACCTCAGACAACGTAGCCGTAATATTCGCATGTCTACGGGTCGCTAGTCGTTTTTCAGCTGGTTGCAGCTGAGCCCAGTAAGTTGACTTTTTACTCAAGGGATTTGACAAGTAATAAGCGAACTTTTATGCCGAACTAGGATTCCAACCCTGTACCTCTAAAGTGCAAAGCTAACTGCTAAATGTTGTTACTCAAGTTGGATTCGGGATTAGTCAGACATCGGCCGGGAGGCCGGCCAGCGTGCAACGTAGATGAACAAGGTAGTGGTCGATCTGCTTCCTACGAGTAACCGTTCCTTGTTTGGTGCAGCCACCGGTGCATTATAGCAAAAGTCTTGAAAAGCTGCGAATACGGCAGACTTCGTTGACCAGAGACGTTCTATTTATGCAGATGGCTCAAGTAATTATTTGAATAAACTGTTGCTTGTTCCACTGTTCTGCCCAGTTTGGAAACATCCAGCACACTATAAAAAGTTACAGACCGAGTCAGTGCATATTATAGTATATAAGAGATCTTGCCCCGCAGTTGTGCTTGTTGCCTTGGTCGAAGCGTTGACCTTATTGAGTACATGTGTTTGCCTGGTGTCTTACTGCAATAATGCATTAGACCAGCATTACAAATTTTTGTTTCCGCTGTTCAAATGTATTTTCAGTTTGTCTCTATTCGTTTGTCATGCTTGACGGTTATTTTAGTTTTCATTATCACCAGTAATCATTCGACGAATAGTGACAGATGGGTAGTTT